TGACCCCCGAGGTCACGTGGTCGCCTCCCCAAGGTCACGTGACCCCCGAGGTCACGTGACCCCCAAGGTCACGTGACCCCTTCCAAGGTCATCTCAAGGTCACGTGACCCCCAGGTCACGTGACCCCTCTGAGGTCACGTGACCCCTCTGAGGTCACGTGACCCCCCGAGGTCACGTGACCCCTCCAGGTCACGTGACCCCCAAGGTCACGTGGGGGTCACCTTTGGGGTCACGTGGCCTTGAGGTCACCCCCAGGTCACGCCTCCCCGAGGTCACGTGACCCCCTCCCCGAAGTCACGTGACACCCCCCCCCCCGGAGCATATTAAAGAATGAGGGGAGGAGGAGGAGAAGGGGGAGGGGTCTACCCTCCCCTCAGTACCCTTCACTCCTCCTCCTCAAGAGCTGCGCTCCAATTCGGCGTTACAGGGATTTGTAAACGGCTTTCACTTTTTTTTTGCTATTGACAAAAGTGTTTTATTATTATTTTTTTTTAGAAAGCTCTGTGTTTCAATGGAAACTGTGCCCTGGGAAATATTTTTCAGACGTTGCAAGAGCTAAACTGGTTTCAGATAGGAAAAATTGGGTTGTGTGTGTGTTTATACAGCCTAGAACTTGGTCTGCCTCACAGGGACGACGAGTCTCCCAGCTGTAGATGAGCAATTTAGCCAGTGCAGTACAATCGCTAGCCTGGGGTCTTGAACGTGCACCACGCAGTAGTGATACACGACCGCACGCCGGTACGATGCTCATCCAAAAGATAGCACTTACCTCAAGCACAGTTGACGGATGTTTCGCTATTATTGAAGATTTGTTCAACCCTGCCAGGATAACTGCATTGACTTTCTCAAGACTAAACAACTTTTTTTTCACCTCGGCTGCAAAAAAAAAAAAAAAAAAAAAAAACGATGTAAAGAAATGAGTGTGAAATGAGGTTGGCACCACCCGTGTTGCTCCACTCGACGTCCGCCACGTAAGTTTTCGCCGCCGCGGCCGTCGAATTTTTAGCCACTGCGATAGCAAAATCCCTTCTCTATGAATGGTGAGCAAACAGACACGTAGTCTGTGTCTGTTATGTTTTCTATTCAAGAATATTTCAACAACAAACTTCTGTTTTGTTTTAGATGTGTTTTACAAACCTCGTTTACCGACGCCAGACAAAGTGTATGGAAATCGCTGCAAAGCAACGAGGTTGTTTTAATGGTCCAGGCTAAGATGACGGAGGCTGATGGCGCGTGCTCCATTTTGGTTTTCTTAGTTGAAATATTTTTATCCAGTAGCGCGCGTGTATAGAGGCTGTTCTGTCGCTTTATGTAGGCACGCTCGCGTCCTCGCCAGACGACATGGCGCCGCTTTAAGTTCCATCGCCGCTCCGCCATCGTTACTAAAGTCCCTCTATCCTGGGAAAAGTGGTGGCATTCATTGCTGTTGAAATGCTCGAGACACGTGACACGCGCCCCTTCTGGGAAGAACATGGCGTCTGAAATCTCTCTCAGTGCTGCGCTGTGCCGCCATGATCTTCCCAAGACCTGCACGTTGCACTTGCCTCGGGCATCGACGCGCTATGCGCTACTTCTAAAATATGAAGGGGCTTTTATCATTACTAAAGACCCTTCATGTTAAAAAAAAGTAGCGCAAGATGCGTCGATACACGCGGCACGTGCAACGTGCAGCCCTTGGGAAGATCATGGCGGCACAGCGCAGCACTGAGCTAGATTTTAGACGACATGTTCTTCACAGAAGGGGCGCGTGGCACGTGTCTCGAGCATTTCCACAACATTGAATGGCACCACTTTTCCTAGGATAGAGGGTAGGGTGCCTTCATACAGTTTCGCCACGTCTGTCTTAGGGTGGCGGCATCTCGGCCATTTCTATGCCCAGAATGCGTGCGCTTCGATCTCGTTCGCAGCGAGCGCTTATCCCTGCCCTGCGCTTTGGCGCAATTTTAAAGGGGCGATGCAACGATATTCATTTGGAATGTTTTTCACTTTACACGAGCTCACTGGCACAAGTGGGACTCAAGGATACTCGCACGCAACGCCACTGACCAAAAACACCTTTGTAGCGCTGTAATTTCGAGGAAAAAACCGAGCGTTTTCATTCATTCTCTCCTTCGCAAAACCTGATGACGTAGCTGGGCGGTGGCAGTCCCGCCCAGTGACGATATTTGAATGCGGCTCA